CCAAAATTAGGCGACTGTTCTACCACTTAATCCCAGTCTGAAGCGTTTCAAATTCGGACTAAAAACACAGCTTTTCAACAATTTATTTTGGGTTTATTTTACTCGCAAATAAAAATTGAGGACACACGGGTCTTTTTATTTTTAATGTACTTTGTGGATCAGAAATAAAAATGAGGACGGGATGACCCCATTCTAGCCGAAATCGATAGCCATAAAGAAAAATAATATAAACGTTATCACTAATATTACTAATTATTAAAAAAAAATTGATTATGATTGCTCATTACACATTCGTTTTAAATTAATGAGCATTTAAGATTAATTTTTTTGGCACAACTGATTGTCCTCGATCGTGCAAAAAATATTGTAAGCTAGGCGGGTGGTAAGTTCTTCTATAGGTCTTGAGCAATTGCAACGCCTCGACAAGCTTCGGTCCTCCAAACCTTGCCCTTAACCGAATAAGCTTCACTTACCACTATTGTAGCTTAATATACTTACTGTTTTGCTTTGAATTTCGATTCTTTCATACTTAGATTAGGTATATTATACATAAAAAGTGTTCCCTTCTCCTACTAGAAATTTTAAAAATTCAAGATAGGAAAACAAAAACAAAAAAAGCATTCATACCATTATCAAAGGTTGACCCTCGTATTCAAATCTTAAACCAGCTCTAATCTTTAAAATATATGCACCTATGGACAATTGTACACTGTGCAACAAATCTGCACTTTTCCGCATACCATATCACATAAATTAATTCCCTAATGTTACAAGTACATTTCTAGACATCCTTGTAATACTTACAATTACCCATGCTTTTTTTATATTTACGATCTTCAAGTGAGAAAGTGTATATTAGCTACAATTAGCAATTGCATTCAACAATTTAAGCTCGTCCTCACAAGCGTAATGACTATAATATGTAATTAACAAAAATTGCAGGTTTAGATGTTTAATGCACTAAAAATTGTAATTAGTAAAAAAACTTGTACGACATTGATTGTGCACGTTATGCTCTGAAAATTGCCTCTTACGTAGTTGGTGACTTGATTAGCTTAAGTGGTTATTAAATTAATATTTTAGGAAATTAGTTTATTGCTTACTGAGAAGATTTACGAATTATGGACTTTTATAGCTAACCGTTAAAAGAACTTTCAAATTAATGTTTATGTCGAAGCAAAACTGGGTTACGTGATTATGACAGTGCGAATCGGCGACATTCCTCCTTTAAAATTTTTTTGCTTTGCGTGCTCAGTTTATTAAGTAATCTGAACAAACAGAACAATATTAGGAACTCTTCCACGTTATGTAAAAAAGAATGCAAAGGTACGCAGGACATTTCAAAACGAACCACCGATTGTGATTTGTAATTTTGGTAAAAAATCAAGAGTTGTAAAAACGCATTTACATTTATTGGGCTATCCTGTTCAAACTTTGCATACGTGAAGGTATTTAAAGTCAGCGTGATACATTAACAATCCTCGAGATTATTTATAATTTTCTATTCCTGTCTGTCTGTCCGCATGGACGATAACTTTGTTTAGAAACGTCTGATCGCTCTGGCAAATTGGTACACGTCATGTTCTCAAGCATATTTAAGAAAGGTAGTAAATAAGAAGCTTATTGCTTTTTTAAAACGTCAAAATGACAACTGTGTTCTGGAGTGAGTATTGGACAGGAGTACACATTGTTATCAACTTTCGTCAAAATGTTTCCTGCTAAAAAAAATGTTTCAAGAATCTGCCGCCCTAAAAATCTGGCGCCCTTGGCAACTGCCCTTAGTGCCCCCCTAAATCCGCCACTGGTGTAGGCGAGGTAAAAAAATACTCGTACGTACAAATTATGTCGAATGCGATTTACCGGTAAACAATTGATTCATGTCTTCCTTGACAAAGGCGCGCGTAGTATATATTTTAATAAGATTTTGACAATTTGAGGGATGGAAGCAAGAAATTGGAATTGGCTGGAGTAGGTAACCGCAAAAAAACGCAGAAGTAACGAAAAATCAACGCAGGGATTGTATGATAAGTCCTGATTGAGAGAAACTTAGGGAAGTATAAATGAACTGAAGGTACCAAACTGAGCAGGAATTATTGAAAGGACGGCATTAGGAGCGCGGAAGGATGAAGGGAACAAAACTAAGAACTAAGTGTATAATTGAAAAAGAAACAATTGTGTGAAGAAGAATTTATTGAATTAAGAAATAGAGAAATTAACGGAAAGGAACTGAAACGCGATGAAAATGGAACATTTGAAAAATGATTACAAAATTTCAAAAAATGAAGAACTGGTTTGGAAGAAACAATGGTGGGTAAGAGAACTTAAATGTAAGAAACATTGATTGAGAGGACATTGAATGATGTCAGTTCAGTATTTTTTTTTAATGAATCTCAGATGTCAAATTCATCAAAACCAGATTTTTTTGCTTGCTCCTGTTGGCTGTTTAGGGCGTGCGATGCTTGTGGTGCAGGAATTAAATCTATACGGGTTATAATCGAAAAGGACACATTCAAAAACTTTGGTTAAGACAATATGAATGGCCGACAAAGAAATTTTGGGGATGTAACGCCCAAAAAGACCCCATTCGCCCAATTTTTGTCACATATTTGTTTGTTACACCCTGTAAACAAATAGTTTGGGTACGAAATAAGGCGAGAGCTTCGAAGACACGAATCGCGCTCCTGCACCATTTTGTAACTTGTACTTCAATTGACTCGGTACCCAGCCTCCTCCCCCTCGCACTGTGTGCTAAAAACTACTTGTAAAGGGGGTGTTGGGGGCTAAAAATCTATACTTAGTCCATCTCAACATTGAGATATCCATGTGCACTAAAGTATCCCAAAGATTGGAAGGAATCTGAAAGGCCAAAAAAAACGGGAAAAAACCCGAATAGTCTACAGAAACTAAAGAATCTCAAGATAAACGAAAGATAAGAATCTGAAAGTATAAGAAAAATTGAAAGGACCCTAAAATCTTAGATTTCCAGTAACTGAAGGTTTGGGAGTATCTGAAGCATCCGAAGTGAAAACTCGGGGAATCTTAACTAAACGATCGGAAGAAAGACCATATCACCAGGTCCTTATCCAAAATCATTGTAAATTCCTATCTACCTGTAAAATTACTAATCTACAACTAATGTGTTATTGTTCTGTTTCATCTTTGCACCCAAATACCTACTTTTGAAGATGTTTAGAGCACCTGCCGCCGCATTTCTAGAGGATTCAATTATACTTTGTTTTTTAAATCAAAATTCGCGTTTACATTAAGATTGCTCTATTAGAAATTTGGAAGTGTTGTAATTTTTTGTAGTACATTGGGTAGGTACTTTTGTGTAATGCGATTTTGTTCTCAAGGACCATAAGCCACTTTATAAAATGCACAAAAAAGTATATCCTCTTTGTCTTTCATACATTATAAATCTTATATAAAGGCTTTCATTTGCACAACGATTCGTCTACTGTGAGTGCTGTAATTTTTGTTGTTCGTCGAATATTTTGTTTCCTTGTTTGAGTTTATTCACTACACGAGCCACCCTTTTAGTAGCCCCAACAGTTTCAAAAATTATAATTTTTTTTCTAATTATAATTTGTTTGCAGTTATGTTGAGTCAGGTAGATTTGTATTTCGTATTTCTTAAACGAACTATTAAAACAATTAATCATATAGTTTCCAGGGGGGCAAGACCACGTTCCAGGTGGGGATGAACTCCGTCTGTCCACTCCCTGACGTATAGGTATAATGCTCTAAAGTTGCCAGGAAAACTAAAAAAATTAAACACTTTTATCGTTCGGGCTCTGAATGCCTGATTTGTGTGGACAGTAATATTTGTAAATAACTCAACTTTATAGTGTACTACACATTTAATTTATTTAATTTATAAAAAAAGTAAAATTTAGCCAACAATTTGAAACAATCCAGTTTATATTGTTGGCTAAATTTGACCTTTTTTTATAAATTAAATTAATTAAATGTGTAGGTCGTATAGGTACAATAAAGTTGAATAAACAGCAAATATTACTGTCCACAGACTTGCCATGTCTAGTCCTAGTGAACAGTGCTAGATGATCTATTTTCGAAATAGACTTTATGGACTAGCATTATGTGAGATAAATGTCACCATTTTGCTCCAGGCGAAAGATATCACATAAATTGCGACTTTATACCCTCACAGCATCATGGAGTCTGTAAAATATCCCATTAAGAACGGAGATGCATAAACTCGTTAGAGGTTTGATGACCATGAACTATATAAACGTCACATCAAAAGATCCTACATTATTACTCTTTTACTTTTTTCTAAACAAATCGCGTAAATAAGGGAAAATGGGAAAATTGCGATCACAGAAATAAATATTGCTGTCTACTAATTTTAAATTATTCTCAACGCAGAGAATGCACACAACGCCTGTCGCGTGACTTGAATAGCTTTTTATAATGAATTGAAGTGCATAATTCGGCAGTCATTTGGGCAGGGTTAACTTACATGGAAGTTAATGATGTATCCTGTGCTTTATGAAGGGATGCTTTAAATGTTTATTTTTAAGTTTAAGAATTTAGACAGGCAGACTTATAATTTAAACATAATGGTAGGAGGATTGATGGCATTTGTGCAGCCGATTCTATAAACATTTTGCAAGTTCGTTCAACTATAACTTTTTAGTATGGAGGTAATTTTGGTTTTAAATTGAATGGATTATAAACAAAGAAAGTAGTCGCCACTATGGGAAGCAAAAAATTTAAGCAGCTACCGGATGCTCGATGGGACAGAACTATTTTTAGCCAACATTGTCATTGTGCTACTGAAATTTTTTATAACAAAATTGCCGTGGCGAAAATAATACAGTTACTACCAAAAAATTCCGATAAATCACAATTTTAAATTTAACTACTTATTAAGGGGTATATCATCTAAAAAAAGGTACCGAAAATTTAATTAAGAGATGAACTGAAGTATACATGAATCTAAAAATGTAATGTAATACTGAAAAGAGGGGGGCACGTTTTACTTCAAGCATGGTTTCCTATTCGTAACTTGTCAGTGTGCATCGAGATCGGAAAAATAGCAGTAGCAAGACTAGTTACAATTACTTAAGCAGTCAATATGAGAGAAATTGTACATCTTCAAGCCGGTCAATGCGGAAATCAAGTTGGTGCCAAGGTAAGATTTTTCATATTGCTAATTTTGTGTCAGAAGATTTTGACGTTTTGAGCAAGTTATTTTAACGGATTTGTGTTAGGCCCAAGGGTTATTAACTGAAACTAAACAAAACACTCGCTTATCAGTTCTTATCGTGATCATAAAAGAACCGTTTTCGTATTTGAACTTTGCTGAAACAGTCAACCGCCAACTAATCTAACGAAAAGTTGTTCGAAAATCAAGGATTTGCACACAATTATTATTATTTAAGTATAGCGAAACCTTCAGAGCAAAAAAGTGGACGGTCAAAAATTACAAGTTCACGGTCTAGCGATTACCTACTGCAAGCATTTACATGTACTATGAAAAATGAAACGTTTTAGATTAGCTACCAGACACTTTACTTAAAACGAGGGTCTTCTTTAATCTTCTCCATACAAACGGAAATTCTTCGTCAAACCAAACTAATGCCGTACGTAATCTATTTTAGAACACTTCAAGGGGCAATTCTAAATATTTAAAAGCAGACGAAATGCATTTGTGCACGACTCTATATTTATCTAGACTCGACCAAAAGACATTTCTTCTAGACCTTTTTTTAAGTGTTACTGACAATTTCTTGGCAACGAATAAGGTTTATTCAACTTCAACTTTTTCTAAAATTATAATCAAGCTTTATAAGCGCAAATTTGCGATCTGTAATCAGGTAGCAGAAAATTAATCCTGGAATAATTCGAGCGCATCTTTTGGTTTACTTATAAAAATTAAAAAGAATATCTCGCGAGAGCTTAATCGATACATACCATGCTGTGCATTGAACTGAAGTATTTTATCCAAATTTTTTTATGGACGGCTAATGCTCAGTAGATTCATTTTACTGTGGCAGTTCTTATACATAAAACATATTGATTTTACCAAAGAAATTAGATCCGCGAAAGAGACGTGATACATTTCAGAAATGCAGATACCGCTGGGAATATTTCTTGTCGCTTAATTTTTGCAAACTAATTTAGGACAATTGCCTTAGTGATGTCATGTCGTTCTCAAGTTTTTAAGAAAATACTTCGGGCCTTTTAAGAATTAATATAATTTACTCGACGTGTGTCATTTTGTTTTGTAAATTGAGTCATGTGTACTTAATGCCGCTCACTTACTCATTATTGCAAGCGCCGTGACTTCCTATCGAACTTGACGATAATGAGTAATTGTAATATAGGTACAATTAATAATAAACATGCCTATTAGCGTGCTGTGATACGTGTACAATTGTACACTTAGGTAGTGTGGATCATGAATCGTTTTATCGCACTCTGATTAACGTTGGTAATTTTCATAATCACTGGGTGATTAGAAAATGAAAACTCAATTTGAAATGTAAATCCCTGTGAGTTAACTGTGCTTCTTAACGTACCTACATTGAAATTACAATTACAATTTCTTCTCGGAAATTCTCTTTTTATTTTGGACTTGGTACCCACCGAAGTCTTGAAGATTTGTGACATACCTACTTAAAGCACTGCGAGATTTTCGTTGATTTTATTCGTAGTGAGTGACAACCTTGCTTTGTCAATTATATTCAATTTAATTCTGTACTTAATCAAACCCTTTGTCAAAATTATTGCTGGTTGATTGAATCCGTTTCCCCTTCAAATTAATCAAATTTTTCACCTGAAACTCGTAGTTCCTATTGAATAACGAACTATTTCAGATTCAGAAGAAATTCAAAACGAATTAATAAATTAGTGGCGAAATAAATAAATTGTTTCTAATTTCGACCATATGTATGAATAGTTGATAATAAAAAATACTGCATTAGATCAGGATGACCCGACCCTAAAAAAATTTTCATACAATAAGTACGGAGATTTAACAATATGAGATTTCCACATTTACCATGGTTATAGTTAAGCCTTTTGTATACTTCCATTTTTACGGATCAATAACTCGTAGGCGCGAATAATGCATTATTAATTTTTTTTTAAATCGTTTCAAAATTGAACGTGTTCAATTCAAGGGCCAACTGCCATCGTGCTTTGATACCTGTGCTATTTTTAACCAATATTTTAGCTTAATATTATACATAATAATAATAATTGATTTAATGATTAATCATTGATTTATTTCTCATCATTGGAAAACAAAATAGAAGCTTGAAATCATCTCAACTTCATTGTATTTACTAATGGGGTTGAGCACCACTCAATTTCTATCTTAACTCTCCCCGTATGAAATTGAGAAGATGCGAGGCTAATACTAATACAAAACCAAAAGAAATACTGGTTCATTCCCAAATACCAAATCAAAAATAAAAACTGTCTCCACAATTGGATAGCCTATCACACAAATACAAAATATTCCCCCAAATATTCAAAATTATAACTTACGTTACTCACAACTCTTATTAAATTCACTGTACAATTAGAATTCCCCCGATCCTGTAACAAAGAGACATTCACGCACCTCACTCAGTGGGATCGTGGCTAACTAATTACAGTCTGAAGGGCATATACATATCACTTGTGGCCGTAAATCCAAGATCGAAAACATCTGCACTCGGTGTAGCAATCAGAAGATCACAGAAAACAACAAGGCAATACAAATTTATCCCTTTAAGAAGTATTTAATGATACGCTTTATAATACGCAGATGTGAAGGAAGTTGTCCCAAAAGGAGGGGAGAACCCGGACTTTAATATCTTCGTCGTGACTCAGTGACCTATTTCTGCAATCCACAGTAAAATGGCCGTTTGCTATCAGCGTGAGCTTCACCCAAGGTTGCAATACTTACACGTTGAACAGAATCGTATGTAGCGTAACGCGTATCCGGAACTTGAACTTGAACCCTAAAAGAAATCAAAGGTAACCCTTCTTTTTTGATAACTTGCCTTTTAAACAAGAGGGCTACTCATTGATGAAGCAACAATTGTCAATGGAAATTGCAGTACAACAAATTACAGCCGAAACCTACAGAAAGTACACTCTAAATCAACGAAATGCAAATGGCGGTACTTAGGATAAAAATGAAAAAACGCAAATGTATATCCTAATTACTACTTACTACTAATTGCTTCGGAATTGCCAAAGTATGAATCGAATCACCAGAGATCAATATATTCGGAAGATGGCAATTAGAATTCCATGCGTTCTACCTTACGCTTTCAGCTGTTTGTTTAATTGATGTGCACGTCGATATCAGGTGAATATTTCAAGTAAAATCACCGGAAGGACTTTTAACAAAGTTTTGAAAGAAGTCTTAACGAAGATTATGTGTGTAACTCTCCATTGCTAATTTATTATAAACGGTTTATTTATTGAAAACTTTGACATATGCGTGTGATTTATTTATTATCCCCATCTTGTTCTGGGCCTCAACAGGCTTGCGCCCAATTACAGACTGAGCCGCATAATGCTTTTTAGAGGTGCCTCTGCAGAAGGTCTTAAGTTGTTCTTTACTACTCCGGTATTTACCTTACAAATTAGGAAAACTGCAGGAAAACCTAATACGGAGGTTCTACTCTAAAATGTCGAGCAAGTAGCAAGACTATCTTTTACATTGCCTAACGTACGTGCAATACTTTATAAGGGATTGATGTAGTATTTAATTTCATCCCAGTCAATTCCATTGAAAATTATTAGTCTCCAATTCCATTACTTATACTTTGTATAAAATTGTAATTTCTTAATACTTCGATAAGCAAGTTAAGAAGGATTCGCGGAATTTGGATAAAATGATAATGGCACCACAAACACGTTTTATTTGCATTCCCCTTCTGCACTCGCAACCACGAAATGGAATTCCTTGAAGAACGAATTATCCCAGAACAAATAAGTGTCACTTTTAAGTTTTATATACCGAAGCAAAGGAAAAGTTTATCCATCACTAAATTTTCAGGTCTTCCTAATTGTCTTTTAACTACACTGTGACTTTATAGAGAATGTAATTTTTTAACTTTTGTTTTCACAAATGTTTCACTTCTTATAGTTATCTACTTCTTGTAGTTATCCAAACGCTTGGAATGCCTTGTATACTCACAAATGTTTGTTAAATGACAGTTTAGCGTTAATTTTAGCAAAAGTAACGACGAACGGACGGGTAACAAAAGTTAGGGATAATGATTAAGAACAATTAAAATCAAATTAGACCTTATTTCGCCAATACAATTTAAAAATCCGTTATATATGTTCCAATCCCGTATTTAGCACGCAACAGTAGTAGGGGTTAACGATGGGTTCAAATATACACAAAGAAATCGTTGTGTTTACAATCTGCGGTTTTATTAGGAAATGGTGGTAAAAAAAGGTCATGCCAAATTGTTAACCGAAATCAATTAATATCTGTTTTTTTATTGGATGGTTTTTAATTAATTACGATAATGAGGGCTTTGTTATATTCAAGAATTTCGTACATAAATTCTCCCAGCTGTATAATTACTATATTTGCTCAATTATACAGTGAATCATCCTCGTGGCCTTTACGGCTGAAAACCACTCTATTTTGTACTAATCCATTTAGGTATATTTCGCACAATCTCGTATTCTGAGTGAAGGTTGTACTAGATATTCTTATTTATTGATACTTCGCTTAATATAAAAATGTCGTTATAAACAATTATCAGTTTCCACTTCCCTTGCTGATATATTAAAAAAATAAGACTCAAAGACATTATCTAATGAACGTTACATATCTAAATATTTAAATTTTCGTTTCAGTTTTGGGAAGTAATCTCCGAGGAACATGGAATCGATCCCAGCGGTATCTACATTGGCGATAGCGATTTACAGCTAGAAAGGATTAACGTCTATTACAACGAAGCCACAGGTTTGTATAGTGGTTAACGATTTTATATAATTTATATACAATTTGCGATTCGTAGAATGACGTGACTCAACTTCTTATCAAAAGTGTTTACTAAAATTAATCATATCCGCTAATTGTTGTAGCCGCCAGGCGATTCCATACTATTTGAATGTGAACGTATTATAAATTGAGGCAAAGAAAGAATACAGATGAGTTTAATTTGCTTTTTGTCCGATTATATCCAATTACAATGCTGTACTTGAAAGATGTGACGTTAGTGAAAGATTTATGCACTGGCCATGTAATGCTTTATTTCATATACGCATTTGCCTTATGTGGTGCGTGCTTAGAGAATCTGGGATCATTGGGATCCTACCAATTGAAACATAATTAGCTTCTTCTTTGTACCCTTGAAAATATCCACAATAAAACAAACAAAATTTCAGCGTCAGAAGTAAAAAAATTACCTTTTCTGCCGCTAATGATATAAATCACTTCACACTGCACCTGTACTCGTTTTCTAAGGAGAATGTACATTTCAAAACCTTTACTACCACTATAAATAATATACAAAGAAGTATTTTCAGAAGCAAATCTAAAGTTCCAACGGAATTTAAGCGTTTACACAAAGCATGCTGTGTCAACTGGGCTTATGGTTTTTTTTGTAGAACTTCCCTCTCTGCTTCAGCATACTGGCTTTTGAGAACGTCAACTTATTTGCTTGCTTTTAACTTGTAAGAGCCGGAATTAATTATTTGTCTTTTGCAGTCGCTACACGCAACAATGGAGGAAAGTACGTACCAAGAGCAATTCTTCTCGATTTGGAACCGGGAACAATGGAAGCGGTACGATCTGGAGCGTACGGCAGATTATTTCGACCCGACAATTTTGTCTTTGGTCAATCAGGCGCCGGAAATAATTGGGCGAAAGGTCACTACACCGAAGGTGCCGAATTAGTAGACGCAGTCTTAGATGTCGTACGCAAAGAAGCAGAGAACTGCGACTGCCTGCAAGGTTTCCAACTAACTCATTCTTTAGGAGGCGGAACCGGGTCCGGAATGGGCACATTGCTTATATCAAAAATACGGGAGGAATATCCCGATCGAATAATGAACACATACTCTGTAATGCCTAGTCCCAAAGTTTCCGACACCGTTGTAGAGCCATACAATGCGACCCTCTCGGTGCACCAACTGGTTGAAAACACGGACGAAACTTACTGCATTGATAACGAAGCTTTGTACGACATCTGCTTCAGAACCCTCAAGGTGCCCAATCCTAGCTATGGAGATCTTAATCACTTAGTCTCCCTCACCATGTCAGGAGTGACCACCTGCCTTAGATTTCCCGGCCAACTTAACGCAGATCTTCGCAAGCTCGCAGTGAACATGGTCCCCTTCCCTCGCCTTCACTTCTTTATGCCGGGATTCGCGCCGCTAACATCTAGAGGTAGCCAACAGTACAGAGCGCTAACAGTTCCAGAACTAACGCAGCAAATGTTCGATGCGAAAAATATGATGGCCGCGTGCGATCCCCGGCACGGCCGATATCTAACGGTAGCGGCGGTGTTTAGGGGCCGGATGTCGATGAAAGAAGTCGACGAGCAAATGTTGGCCGTTCAGAATAAAAATAGCAGCTATTTCGTCGAGTGGATTCCCAACAACGTGAAAACGGCAGTGTGCGATATTCCCCCGACCGGTCTGAAAATGTCCTCCACCTTCATCGGCAACACCACAGCTATCCAGGAATTATTTAAACGAATCTCCGAACAGTTTGCAGCTATGTTTAGACGTAAAGCTTTCTTGCATTGGTACACCGGTGAGGGAATGGACGAAATGGAATTCACCGAAGCCGAATCCAACATGAACGATCTCGTCTCAGAATACCAACAGTACCAAGAGGCAACCGCCGATGAAGATTACGAAGCAGAAGAAGAAGTAGCCGCCGACGACTTTAACTGTTAATTTTATATTTTCTACTTACATAATTTATATTGAGAGAAGAAGCGCTAACCTTTAAATTAGGTCTTTTCGTACAGATTTCTAATATTTAGTCGTAAGTTTTAAATTTCGTTATTTATAATAGAAGACTGAATTTTGTAAGTTTTCACGGTATATAATTAAATTGCATTTATTAGTTGAAGTTAATTTTATCGATTGGAAATATAAGACTTTTAAGAAGCCTTGCAGGGAACATAAGGAAGTATAGAAGTTTGCAACGGATGAATGATACACCACTATCTAATTTACTTACACTAGACTAATTATGAGAAGCACTTAAATAGCCCACGCAATAAATAATGATACCATATGTCAAGTGTGCAAAGGAGAAATGCAGTTATTGGTCGTGTAATTAACCGCTCTTGTTTTCTTGCGAAAAATTGCAATAATCAAATAAGTTAACGATACGTTTCTAAGTAAGTGAGTGCACCGCCAAGGTATTGTAATACGAGTATTTGTTCCCTTTGTTATGGACAATCAATTATAGTATTTTATCAAAGTAAAACATTGTGCAGATACAGAACATACAGGTACATTTCACATGAGGTACTTTCTATCGAATTTTCTGTTCTGTTGTCAACGCAAAGTGTTTGTAGACTCGCCTGGTCCAGATTTTTCTCGGAATTTACAGATGCTTTTGGGAATGTACGGATTTCCCGATATTAAGGGATTCCGGTAATCATTGACCTACTTCCTGATTTCGATCATGCCAGCAATCTAAACACTGACACTGCCATTGGTAAAGATTAGTGTTAGCGCGAGACTTTCGAAAGTTTCGTCTCGTCTCGACCTGCTTCAGTCTCGTCTCGTCTCCTCTTATCTGGTTTGGTCTCGACTCTCGACATACTATCCATAAAGGTTCTAGAATCTAGAGCATATATAAAACGCAAGACCAAGAAGGCATGACAAGTAAATAATAATATATGACTCCTCACACATGGTGTAGAATTGGTTTACGTACCATACATATTTCTTAATCTTGAAATATTTTCTCCCCTCCCCATTTTACAGCAAAGTTGTAAAATTCTTTGTCTATTTAAGTAGTGCCCATTTGTAATTTTTTGGTGTGAGCAGTGGGAAATCCCAGAAATGAAAGAATTTATTATAAATTAGCATTTTAGTAAAAATAACTCGTGGCGTGAAATTATTGAAACAAAAATTCGTCCATGCAGCATACTAGAAATTTACATTTATTTAATTTTTTCGGTTTCCCGAGTGGAAAAATAATAAATGAAGACATGAACAGGGGCAGAATTTTTTAAGCTAGAAGAAACCTATTTTCAACTTTGCTCTAATTTAATTAGGGGAGAATATATTTTCAGATAAGGAAATTCGGCATTGAAATCCCTATGGTGCGTGAACAGTTTCTACACCCATGTATATCTGTTAATCACGACACATAATTTCTTCCATTATGCGTTTTTTCAGGGTTTTCCTTACCATTCGCATCTCTGCAGCTAAAAAATATTAGCTTTCAATGCTTTCATAAAATGTAACTTGTAATATAACTATGTATATAGAAAGACACAGTGAAGTCTTTGTTACTTAAATACTGCTGTTGAAGGCATCCTGGATTTAAGAAAAGTTATTGTACTTATAGGATTATATAGGAGTTAGGACCTATTGTAATTAACTTAAGATCAGTAGGTACGTAACGAGATACGGAGTTACCTACGCCTACCGTTGGCAACGAGTTACCTACCGTTGGCGACGGTTTATGCAAATAATGGGAATACGTGCTACTTGAATGGATTTGCATGATTAAAATTAAAAAAAAAACAGTACAAATAAATACAAAAAAACTTCGAGACCAAGCAAGAGTTTCATCGAGACTCCCGCCGAGACTCATGGTAAGTTTAATCTCGAAAATTCATTTTCCATTGTGACTGTGAGGTTCTCGTAAACCGTAAGAGATACAACGTCGCTTAAATGAGCCAAATTATGCTAATTAATTTTCCTTTTCAAATTGCGAAGTTGTACAGCAACGTCTTTCGTCTGAATCTCCTTAGAAACTGTTGTGCATTCAATAAAGATTCCAATACGCTCTAATTCTTGTAACCCGGAAAAACGTGACAGTCCACCATTTTACAAGTAAATACCGGACCCCGGGTTACCAATTTTTCGACCACTACCGATGCCAAACCTTCAGCTAGAGATTTGAAAAATCACAGATAGTTAATCCGTGGAAATATATTACAAAACCTTGTCTTAACTACAGATTTTATTTGTAGGTCATGTTTAAGATCAGAAAGTTCCCTGAGGAGATATTCTCATTGTCTACTTTTAATTGTTATACCAAGACGATCTAGTAATTTCTTGATTTAAAGAATGTTCCATGGGGGTACTTTCATTAAAGTTCAGTTTGGGTTTTTAATACAGAACTTTATTAAACAAAGCGATTTAATTGCAATTTGCTGTTCGGCAATTTCCTTTTTAGGGTAAACATTGTATCTTTGGTTTCATCAAGTTCATCTCGGTGGCTCAATTTTGGGAACCTGCCAATATCCACGTTCATTTCAGCTTTGAAAAAGTGCACCATTAAGATGAGGTTTTGCATACCTTCGACTAATAAAAGAAAAGGGACTGAATATGAAGGTTTCGTAATACTTGATCCAAAAAGTAAGTAAGCAGAACTTGTTCTGTCACAGTTTCCACACACCACGAAGTCAATAAATTATTCAAATTCTATGTTGTAAGCCGTTTCAGATCTTCCGGGAAGCAAACTAAGCTCTGCTTGTCTGCTTTTTTTTTTACCAAATTCGTCTTTTGATGAAGACGCTTCCATTTTTTTAGTTCTTCGGGAGAATGTTGAATTGTTTGGAATACACGTCATAGCAACTAGCACATTTGCCCTTGTGTGTTTTTCGTAGTTTTGATAAGAGTAAAATTTAACTGGTGTTCCATTGCGTTTACTCGATTCTTTTATAATGTGCGATTATGATAGTCGTTATCATAATCGCTTACATTATAAACTAATGGTTTAATTTACTATTATTCAAAAACATGAAAATGAATTGAACAAATTGATTTTATTTACAGTCATGCCAAAGAGTGGCCATGCATCAAAACTTTATCACAATTGCAAATAGTGACAGCTGTTAGTTCATTCAAAGATCATGATCTTTGGTTCATTATACCACTGTCTTAGCCACTAGGCTTTAAAAGCTTCCATGAGCGTTGTCTGTGTTATCTGTGCATAAAAAGGAACTTGAATAATTGATCCACCTACTTTGCAATTAATTTGAAACTAGAAAACTAAAAAGCGAATCTGTTTTATCATAAGCTTGTTGACAGCCATTTCCCAAAAAGGATACTTTGCAATTAATTTAGACCCATCTATCTCTGACCTGATCACAATACCAAATTTAGTTAGCATTTGCTTACCGTTTTCTACATAAAAATTGGTACTAAACAATGTACAACAGTTCTCTGCACCTATGTCACTAGTTTATAAGTATATAAAAGGGAACGTTTCGTACATTACTGTTATTTCATTTTTTTATGCACTTACCACTGTAGCTATCAGGCGTAAGATGGCGCCACACACATTGCAAATGTAAGGTTCCGTGGAAAACCTTATTCTTAAGAAATTTAAATTTTAACTATTTTTTATTCTGAAATTGCACAAAGTGGTGCAACAACGCCTAAAGCCCGAAACAGTTCCAATTTGAGTGACCATCATTCTAGGTTCCTTAGTTAAAATTTTTCACGGTACCTAGGCTAGCAGAAAATCGCCACAAAACTTAAGTGCCCCTTTTATGGATACTTGTAAATTACTTCTTTAAATTTGCGTTAAAAAAACAAAAAAAAAACCATTTAATGCATTTGAGTGGGACACTTACAACCAATATTTTCAAAAGGCCTTTATCTAGTAGTAGTAACCTCATAGTCAGAAACACAATTATAAAAGTGTGAATATACGATTTGATTAGTACACTCCCGTATTTATATTTTGATAAATTTGATTATATTATCTACTTAAACGACGACAGGTTCTGCGCCTTTACTTACACATTTAACTGATGTTTACGTAGTAATCGAATTTTATACATTCGTTTTTCCATCTTAATCGCAGCGTGGTTCAAATACCTTCGAACTTATCAGTTTTTTTTTCTCGATAAACAATACCGCGAAGTTCGATTAATAGCAGTCCCGAGCCTGGTGCAAATTTGTACTTCTTGAGTAGCAATGGAGGTCACATTTGATTAATTGAATGAGCACCAACTGCTTGGGGAGAGGGTCCGTCTTGATTAGGCGCAATTATTGACTCCTCGGCACTTTGCCTATTTTCTCGTAATTAGTACGCACAAAAATGAACAATAACGAACCCACCTTAATACCGTACAAGGATGCAAGGTTGAAAAAGTTCCTTAAAAGAAGCTTTGAGGAGAAGAATTAAGTAAAAGTGTGTTGCGCCCCTGAATGAGTAAACGAGAAAGTGTGGGCGCGTGCTAATTGTATTTTTTTCTTTGGGTTTGTCCACCAACGGCTCGGCGAAGATGAGAGGGACGTCCTTGACCTTGTTATCGTGTGTTCTTACACAGCAACCGATGGCTTCGTAGGTTTGTTTAATAATCAACAAGTTACTTACAATTTCCGCATTCGCTAACCAGATGTGCTGGTTTTTTGCAGACGTAAAATAATGTGAGTAGAAGAGTTTATGGCTCGATGTAAACGATTTTTGTAATAAAAGTGGATTTAATTTTAGATTGGCTGTAAAAAACATACCTTTTGAAAATGCTTGCGACCTCTTTTGTCGCCACAACTCTCATGACTAGGTGCATTGGTAGGTTCCGTAAATTCTTTTGAACTAACAGCAACAGAACATAATCCAACGGTTTTTGGTGGAGTTCTACAAATAAATACAGGGCGTTCAAAAAATAAAATTCTTAAAACTAAATTGCTATTAAATACGGTTTTAAGATTTTTTTTAGTTGGCTATGACTCGTAATCATGACAGCAAAGAAAACAATTGAGAAATATCAACGTTGGAAGAAGTGATCTGATCATCCAATCTTTCGAGAGTCAAGTGATCCACAATGGGGACATGCTACTAAACGAAGAAAATTTGCACTCTCACTAGGATGGGGCTCTGCCACATTATGCCCTAGCTGTAGTTCAATCGACGGAATCCTGGTAGAATGATGGGGCATAAGATGGCCACCACGGTCTCCCGATTTGCCTCCGCTTGATTCTTTTCTTTGGGGACATTTGAAAACGATGGTGTATAACAATATTCATAGTGAAATTTGTTGTAATATTCTTTTATTTTGTATTTGTCTTGGATAGCTGTAGGGCGAATGTTAAAATTAAGGCCAATCTTCTACTAAACTTCCCCCGAACAATCTAAAAAAAGAAATTTTTGATTTTTTATCAAAATACAAAGTCTGGCAGTCTTCTTGGAATTTTCTAGGAATCTTTTTAGAATATTTTAAAAAATCTTCCTATAGCCTGCTTTTAAAATCTGCTTATGATCGCTATAAAACCTTTAAAATCTTGAAAACGTTTAACTTCCCAGAATTTTTTCGTATCAACTTTTACGCATGTTCTTACAGAGCCATTAGAATTTTGAGGATCTTTGTAGAAAATTTGTAAAAATTGTCTTAGTATTTTCGTAGAATTTCACTAGAAATGATCTTCAGGCCTCATCTTGAAAGCTGTTTTATATTCTTCGAATTTCATTGGAAATATTTTGCCCCTTCTAGTGAATGGTAATTTTTTGAAATATACAACACCTTCAGATCATTTAGTGTTTTTTTTACAATCTTCTTCGAAACATGTTAGAACTATTTAGAATTTAAGTACAATCTGGTAAAAAACATCTTCCCCGAATATTTTTAGAGTCCATTGGAACTTCCAGATTCTACAAAACCCATGCACCTTTTTTTAAATTTTCTTAGCATGCCCTTAAAATCGTTTTAGAATCACTTTATCCTGAATTTTCAAAAAGATTAAGTCCTCTACTTTCATGTTACGCTGATGTTCAAAGGTTATGGCTAAATTTTTTTGCTAAATTGAAAAGGGCATATTGAAAAATTTGTTACTCCCACATGTGTTGTGATTAGCGAAAGAAAAAGAATTTAAAAAAACGCAAATTCAAATTCCTAGATTTATTGAACAAAATGTTTATTGCAGGCCCCTCTACCTGTCAATTTTTGGCGAGCGCTATTATGGAAGCTTATTATTTTCGTCACCAGACTCGATTTCTCCATTTGACGTCCCTGAAATGGTCCTATGAGACTAACATGTTTATGACACTTTTTAAGCCCGGTTAAGCCCTTCCTAAAGTCTTAGTAGAATCTTCTTATAAGATCACCTTGGAATCCAATTAGAATTTTTTTAGAATATTCTGTCTTGCTTGAAATCTGTTTATAATTTGCTCAAAACTTCAGGTACTTTTTTAATTTTCGTACTTCTAGAACCTTTATTAAATTGCAAAGCTTCATTATGAAACCGTTTTTAAGCTCACCAATAAAAAAAGTGGAAGTTATTGAAATCACTCCATATGTTTGGGATAAATTTATCATTAGAAATTTTCAATTTTAAGATAGATAGTTAGAGCAATTGAATTGTTTATTTCGTTAAATTGTAACCTACAACGTTTTCATTATAAAAAAAGCAGACGATAAATTAATGATTTAAAGGTATAATTCAAATTGATTTTGATCGTGATGGGATTTAAAATTTTTCCTTTATCTGTGCACTTTCACTTGATTCGGTTATACTTATTACTGCAAGGACTTTGGAGTAGGTTCCAGAGAGAAGCGTCACGTGGGAATTATTCCAAAGTCTCGCCTGTCCAGAGCGACCTTGCTAGCTCAGAGATTCTAATGGTTAAAATCGGAAAAGCTCACCCTTGATGATTTTTTTTTGTTCACCTAAATGCCCTCTCGTAGTCTACCTAGCTATGCGTCTGATCTGTATGGAGGTTTTTGGCTAAAAAAATGTATATTTGATGTATTTAGTATTGGGTGAAACATTTTTCGGTTATATGTTATCCGTTCCCCTCAAAACCAACAATGAAATTGCAGTACATTTATTAGTAGGTATATCACCAAAATTAAGCAATAAACAATTGATACATATCAGAAATATGTTTGTATGTGCATATTATTGAAACGAATTCTTCTTCTTTTGTGGTTTTAAATGTCTTTTACTTTCAAAATGACCACCCTCGTCCCAGTCCAAGGCATCATGGAAAGCATCCTAATTGAAAAAGTAAGTGTAAATCAGTTTATTAGAGATAAATTACCTGATCAGCGTCCGATCCATCAACGTCATATTCACACGATACTCCTAAAAGTCAAAAAATAAGTTAAAGTGACCTGTATCAGGGCAGGGCCTACTATAGTAGGTGCTGCCTGAACCTATCACTAACTTTTACGGTTTTAGCATCTACAGCAAGTCAACCATCTATGCCAGATTCGCTTATAAAGTAGGTATGCCATAATGATGTAATATGAAAATGATAAAACTCGAAATTTTAGCGTAAACCTTAATCTTATAAAAGAATTGTACATTTTCCAGTTAAAAGTGTAAGTTTTGAGCTAAAATTTCAGGTAGTAGCTTAAATTTTAGGTTTAATATTTTGATTTTATGTCGAAGTTTTACCTACTACAAATACAGCTTTCATAGTAATTTGAGATCATACCTGATAGTGATATTAGGCACAACACTAATGCCAAAGACAAAATCACGAGAGTTAGTTTAGTCATCTTGATGAGTCTATTTGCTTACTGAAGATTGTAGTCGAGTCCGCGATTTTTATTTGATTTTTTTATCTCCATGCAGGTGGTTTTTGAGCGATTGTGCGTAATTAGCTTGTGGTGTGTTTGGTAAATTAATTTTTAGATAGGGTCTGTAGGTAATCTTTAAGACATAAGTAATTAGTAATCATTCATTCCGGTTGTTTATTGTACAGGATGTAGTAGGTACCCAACTAATGTGACTCCTATTTGTACTTGGTCTTGAATTGCTAACTGTCAGGTACGCATTATTTCGGTGTCAGATGGAAACGAAGAATCAACGGCTAGTAGAGATCAAACTACTAGATGCAAGGGTAGCAATTCTACGATATGTAACAATTAACATTTAGGTAATGTACTGGATGAGTGTTTCAAATGTTCTTGTGCTGGGATCTCAGAAAATAGCTCTAGCTCATAGTCTATTTAGGAGACTCTTTAGACTTTCGTAAAAAAATTTTAAGCATAAGATTATTCCGTTAGAAATTTGTAGTACTAAATTGCTTTTAGAATTACAGTATCACTCTATAATGGTTTTAGCACCAGAATTTTTGTTTTACACGGTGAAAAATTGTTTACAACAAACTTTTACACAACTTCTTGTCACAAATTTAACTCGTTTGCAATTTAACTTGCCAATTTAATTGGGCACACAATCACGAGCGTGAAAAGCTAATTTCGAAATTTTTAATTATTGAAACGCCATAAACTTAACATTTTCACAAAAGAGAATGTTACTTTTTCGCGGCAACCTAGGCAACCACTAGCTGAATGAATGCTGTATTTTTTGCGCCTTTTCGAACACACTTCAAGGATCAAGCAGTCGTGAAGTCGTGATCTTTTTTCCGGTCTCAGCCGGTTTTCAAGAAAATGTAACTAGAATGGGAAACGGTGCCAGTTTTTCCGTTCGACTACAGCTTCAAAATGACCCCATCCGGTCTGATCCCGTAACCTGCATTTGTACCTGTAGGTTTCCAAATAGAAATACAAATTAAAATAAGCTATTAATTCCAGAAACGCAAATCTGGATACATCTAAATAAAGTGATCCCAAAGCCTGCAATTTTTGAGGCTGTTCGACTGGGGAAGTTGGTTATCGATAAGTACATTTCAAAAAATTATTTACGAAGATTTTAACAGACACGTTTTATTCTCAGGGACCTTTCGTGGATAATTTCGAGAAGACCTGACAACAGGAAACGCTTCACTTGTAAAGATCTATGAATATACAACAGTAGTCTCTTCATTTCATGAGAAATTTTAATTTAAGTGTGTGAAATTAAAACAAAAAAAAAAGCTATAACTTAACTGACAGGTGATGGATAACACGACTTTAAAATGTAAATCGTAACTCATTTTTCATTATTTTGCGCAATTGTGGAATGCAAAATACTAATCCCTAGTCTAATCAGTAATAGTGTCATTATTTCCTAAAGCCAGAATAATAAAATAATGCATTGGCAAAATGTTAGCTAACCTGTAAGTATCACTTTGGACCTTGTGAATTTTTTTATTGAAATGCGATGCAGTTTTTGTTAGGATATACTGAAAGTTAAGTTTTGCACAAACGTTTTCGTTCATCACTAAATCAATGACACTATTTTTGTGAGAAACAAAATTAATTGTTGCTTGTTACAGTAATCCTTGAATAACAAATTTATTAGTTATTTTAACTTAAAAGCTTAATGATTTATTAATGTTTTCCGTTAGAGTTTTGTGTAAAGAAGAGGTTTCGTTAATTAAGTGTATAATTCTGTCACAGTTAGCGACTAGGGAAAATGCTTCATTTTTATTTGGTGTGCCCAACGGTTTTTTTCTTTTTTAAAATAATTGTACTTGACTTTTTCTGTAGTTAGGCTATTTTGGCTTTCATTTTCATCGCGTTCCCTCTGCTACAGCTAAATTTTGTGCTATTTACTGTGACGTAATATCCGGATTTTCTGTGTGAAGTTGTTGACTAAAATTTTTCTTCTTTAATTCCTAACGAAAGGGTAGTCCGTGGTAGGTCAATTCTTCATAGGGCAAATTTCCAGGGGCGAATATTCCGTGGACAAATCTTCCGAAGGTGAGTTTTCTTAGGGCCAAATTTTCATGAGCTCATTTACCAAGGCGAAATCTTAAAGCTGAATCTTTCTACAATCAAGCACTTCTTGAAAGTTCCTAATGACATGTTTTTGAAATTGTTGGATAGTTCATTATACAGTTTCACCACAATCGGCCCTGTAATGTATCACTAACATTAAACTTAACGTGCAGGTTATCTGTAGAAAATGTTATTTTGCCCATACTAAATAACATTACTCATGACCTTATGATATCTATGGTGTTGCATTTAAAAAATACCAACTTTGGATCAAATTTCAGAAACGGTGGTTCAAAATTTTTTTGATTACGCCACTGGAGCCTACGTAAAAATGTGTAAAATAGGCAGTTTTTACCTTTATTCTATCTTACACGGGTAGTAAGATATGGTAACGTCCCAAAAGTAAAATTTTTCGTTTTCACCCTGTATCTCAGCAACAAACGTAGCTAGGGTTGCGAAAACCCCAAGTCTTTATCTTTAAAAACAGCTGAGATGCACTGCAATCACAGCCAAAATTCAGATTGTTTTGGTATCAATTTTATTGAAAATTGTCAACTTGTTAATTTGACCAATATAAAGCTCTATTCAAAAATGTGTACGTTCTGTGCCACCCTTTGGTATGCTTTCTTTGCTTTATTGGGCAAGAGGGTGTAGTGTTAAAATATTTTCAGAGACGTAGAATGTGAGGCTCTAGCGAGAGTTTTGGAGAATGCCTGGCTTGGAACAAAAGGATAGCATGTAGTACGAGAATGTTACAAAAACGTTGTTTTCTTTCCGTAGCTAAATTGTCAAAAATGAATAATCAATTGATCTAATTGTATTTATTTTGCAAAGATTGATCAGGTATTATTTCTGTTTATTTCAGATTATATGTGGAACGGTTTGTCGGTTTTCTTGAATTCTAACCAAAACTGTTACCTACCTTTTACTAAAGTATGCAGTGGGTCTTTTAAACCAAGCGATAATAGCCATAATGACGACGAAGTATTCGTTAATTGATAATGAAAATTGCTTAAAAATAGTTTAGAATTAACACCGTTTATTGGTGTCATTTTTTGTGTACGTTTAGAGAAGAGCACTTATGCTAATGGCAGTTAGTGGGAACAAAAAATTAAAATATATACACATTTTTACGCCCGCTGCATTTTTTTTGACAAGCTATCCCGCATTTTATAACTGTATCAAACGTGAAGATAACCAGTTCGTAAACCTACACTTCCTGAAATGTCGAAAATTAACCTTTTCGTACACGTATATAAAGCCGTGAGTCCATTCTTCTCACACTCTCACTTGTTCCATTGTAAATAAATGTAATACACTTTTCGTATATTTTTCATGGGAATTTTTACGCCTGGCTTTCATTTTCGGTTTCACTTTCACTTTTAAAGAATTAATTATAAGTTTTGACGGATAACGCGCGTTGTAGACAAAGCGATTTTAGATTAACAGAAGCTAAATCGTGGACTCTTTAAAATTAAGTTACAAGCTAGCGTTAGTTAAGGTAGCGAACTAATAAATTATAATGAAACAAACCGGTATTTTTGTCGTGTATAACAAGTAGGTTCCATGACCTGCTAAAAATTAATTCTGAAAAGGTTTACTTATTTGCAGGTTATTCGGATTTTTGCGATTTGTCCAAGCAAATACAACAGAACAAACGTGCAATATAATATACAGGGCGCTAGGGTATTTTATTATTTACAGAACGACACAAAAAATGCAAAATTACACCTTGCACAAGAAAATGGGTAGTCTAACTGTGAGGATATGATCAAAAATAGACCAGGTGCACCCCCAATAATAACAATCATAAATAGTACCATTTCCTAAGGAATAAATCCACTAGTATCGTACCTATCTTAGAAACTTTTCTTAACCAGCACTACTTATCTGCTCGGTAGTGTGCCAAATCGCCCCAAAAGTGACCAAAAAGGCACCAATTCTATTCTATGTCTGCTGTTTAAAACTGCGACCTAGCTTTGAGTTAGTGGGGTAAGGGTTATTATCTTTTTGCTTGCACATTGTATGAATTAAGACATCAAATTTTCAAACTGTTCTTTCCGAATTGTTTTTAATGGCTCCGCTTCAACTTCCACGAGGATTCCGTGTACTGACAAACTGACAAGTGCCTGTCGATTATTCAGAAAACACATCGGTCAGGTAAGTACCAATACCACGTTCCACCACGTTCAACTGAAACGTAATCTAATTTAAGGATCAATTCGGTATCGGCTTGTATAATAGCTTGGCTCGATACGGCTGTTCCAATCCTTAGCATGACTCGGAACTCGAAAAATGGGAAACTCAAGGCACAAGCCGAGACCGCTTTTGATATCTCTAAACGCTCTCCAACCTGTTCTTCTAATCTTTTCCCTCAAATCACTTGCATTCTGTTTCCTTCTTGGTACCCTGTCTTCTATCGCTTCCTCTCCAAAAATCGTGATGTTTTGGTCGAAAATTGTGGACGAAATGGCCAGATCTTCTCTAATGGTATTTCTGGCACATTTCCAGATGTCACCATGGCGATTCAACGGTTTGTTATCCGCAAAGGAAAACGTTCTCAAGTGGATCCAACGTTGTCGATGGCTCAGATCCCTATTGTTCATAGCGGCAGAAATAAATGTAAGGCATGGCATTCTGTTCCGCTACTTTGGAGACCTATGGGAAACCGAACTCAAATGCGTTCCCTATGAGTTACGAAAATCATCCGTGAAAATGCAATTGTAAATTTCATTACCGACGAATTTAATTGATTTTTATTCCTGACCCCACGTTTTGTTATTAAAATATTGCCAAACTGTCAAATGAGTATAATTAGTTACAAGCTCTTAGAAGTTTTTATTTGTCCACAATGCCATAAACAAATTTTCTAATCCCGTCCTCCATCCTTGAGATTTTAACACAAATAAATTCAAACAGAAAATATAAAGTGTGATCAAACTTCAAGGCTGAATACAAGAGTGTGAAACTTTTTTCTTATCGGGTTATTATTCTAAAACATTGTTCAATTAGCATGTATCTGATACCAACACCAAAACAAACACATGTTAAACGATAATTAATTGTGATGGGGTGACTTTGTTGGGCAAGAAATTTATTAAATCATCCTAGCAACCAAAATTGTCTTTCCGATAACTTCTGAGAATAGTTGTAAAGATAGTGGTTATCGGGAAGCAATACGTCAATGTGTTTTGTAATAATATACATTTAAGAAAAAAATGGTTCTAACCGGTATTGAATGGAAGGTAATCTTTGAATTATTAACGTCGTTTTGTAAATGTAAAAGCTCGCGAAAGAGAGGGTGAAGTAGATTTCAACACTAAAAGCTTGAACTTTACCATTACCTTAATAAGAATTGTAGGTGATTTCGTTATTACTTTAAAAAG